TCTCACATACAGCAACTAGAAGGATGTGCAACTATGACATACAACTGTCTACTGGGGCTTTGGGGAAAAAAGGAGGAGGATTGGCAATAGATGTTAGCTCAGAGGCGGTCTTCCTCAGCAAAAAGAGGAGGATTAGCATGGGTGTTAGCTCAGGGCTCATCTTCCTCACAAAAAATAAAATAAAATAAAGGTGCTATAAACACCCGGGTGCAGTTTTCTGTGTGGATATAAATTTTCAGCTCCTTTAGGTAAATAGCAAAGACTACAATTGCTAGATCATATGGTAAGAGATGTTTAGTTTTGTAAGAACCACCGAACTGTCTCCCAAAATGGCTGTGCCATGTTGCATTCCCACTAGCAATGAGTGAGTGTTCCTGTTCCTCCCCATCCTCAGCAACATTTGGTGCTGTCAGCGAATTGGGTTTTTGCCTTTCTGACAAGTGTGTAGTGGTGTCTCGTTGTTTTAGTTTGCAATTCCCTGATGACATATGATGTGGAGCATCTTTTCATATGCTTATTTGCCAGCTGTATATCTTCTTTGGTGAAGTGTCTATTAAGGTCTTTGGCCCATTTTTTAATTGGGTTGTTTGTTTTCTTATTGTTGAGTTTTAATAGTTCTTTGTATATTTTGGATAATAGTCCTTTATCAAATATGTCTTTTGCAAATATTTTATCCCCATCTGGCTTGTCTTCTCATTCTCTTGACACTGTCTTCCGCAGAGCAGAACATTTTAGTTTTAATGAAGTCTAGCTCATCAATTCTTTCTTTCATGGATTATGCTTTGATGTTGTATCTAAAATGTCATTGCCAATTCCAAGGTGATCTAGATTTTCTCCTATATTATCTTCTAGGAGTTTTATAGTTTTGTGTTTTATGTTTAGGTCTGTGATTCATTTTGAGTTAATTTTTATGAAGGGTGTAAGGTCTGTGTCTGGATTCGTATTTCTGCCTGTGGACGTCAGTTGTTCTTGCACTGTGTGTTGGAAAGCCTGTCTTTGCTCCGTTGTGCTGCCTCTGTTCCTTTGTCAAAGCTCAGTTGACTCTATTCATATGGGTCTACTTCTGGGCTCTCTATTCTGTTCCATTGATCTGTTTGTCTCTTCTCTTGCCAGTACCACACCATCTTGTCTTTATAGAAGGTCTTGGAGTCGGGTAGTGTCAGTCTTCCAACTTTGTTCTTCACCTTTAATATCATATTAACTCTTCTGGGTTGGTTCTTTTTTATAATTTCCATTTCTCTGCTAATGCTTCCTATCTGTTCATTCATCAAGACAATTTTTTTTGGTAATTATTTGAATGCATTTCCTTTCATTTTTTTGAACATATTTAAAGAAGTGCTTTAAAGTCTTTGTCTGATATGTCCAACATCTGTGCCATTCTGGGCCAGTTTCTATTAACTGCTTTTTCCCTTAACTCTGGGTCATATATTCCTGCTTCTTTACGTGTCTGATAATGGTTTATGTGCTGGACATTATAAATGATGTGTGATGGAGACCCTGAATTCTAGTATTTTGCTCTGAAGAGTGCTTACTTTTTTTGTTCTCACAGGAGTTCAGCTACTGGCTGTTACCTTGAGCTTGTGTGGGCTTGGCTCCATGCTCTGTCAGGGCAGGTTTGTGGAAAGCCCAGGTCCTTCCCAGCTCCGCTAGTGTGGTGGGTGGGACCCAGCTTCCAAACTCTGCCTCCCCTTCAGACTTCAGGTTGGGCGTGGTTTCCAGCTGTTTCAGTGGGTCTGGAATAGGCCCTGCCCGAAGGTGTGATCCTTGTTCTGAAGCGAGGCCATTGTGGCATCTCAGCTGGTCTTGGGTTGTCGCGCAGTCTTTGCACTTGGGCTGCTGGACCCGAGATTACTGTTGATCTCTTGTATCTATTCCGTTTAACCCTGCAGCAGCCACCGTCTGGTGCACTCTTTGTGGGGCCCTGAGCATGCACAGCCCTCACACGAGGACTCATGGGGAACCCACACACGGTCTTTAGTCCCTCCCCCCGCTCCCTGCATGCTGATTGCCCCACAGAGTCCAGCTGTTCCAGCTGCCCTGCCCTCCCATTCCTTCCTCCTCAGCTTCACATGGCCGCTGGGCTCTGCCTGGACCTTGTGGTGGGGCAGTTCCCCAGGCAGAGAGCTGCTGGGCCGTTTGGGAGGCTCACCTTGTCCACGCCCCTCCCTGCCTGCTGTTCAGTGCCTGCATTCAGTTGCTTAGTGTATTTTGTCCAGTATGATGGTTGTTTACAGCGTGAGGACATGTCTGCTACCAGTTACTCTGTCATAGCCACATTCCTATGGTTCTTGCTTCATGAATGATAAGCCTGTTGATTTGTTGAGCAGATATTCGCATCCTGCATTGTGTTGTACCCTCTGTCATCAAGTATGCTGTATAGTCTGTCTCAGTGCTTCTGCTCTGAGGTCAGTCTTTCCTATTACCAAGATTAGACCCCTGTTTCTCTTGTCTGCAGACTCCTGGTATATCTTTGCCAGTTATTCTTTTGGCATCTCTTATATATAGTACAGATTTGGATTTAACTTTGGAATCTAATCATAAATCTACTGAGTATATTTTTATTCCTTCATGGAGAAATACAAAGGCAAATACTAGGCCACCATCGTGCCTGCTGTCAGGCAGGGGAGGAAGTCATGTTTTGTCATTACTTACACTGGGGTGTCGGATAATCTCTCGAGTAGGAGGTTGACTATTGTGTCTTTGGCCTCAAATGACAAAAGTTGAACAAATCCAGTGAACTTAACAAGCAGCCCGTCTCTCTCGCTGTCCTCCCATATTCCTGTTAGTTACATAACCAGTTCTATGTCCGTAATCCCCATATTGTTCTAGACCTAATCCCACAGGTAAGTAGATTCAGTGCTCTCTGCCAGACCATTTGCCATAGTTCTCCAGTTATCTCTTACAAGACTGGAGTTAATCTTCTAGTCCTTCAAGAAGAGCTTATGGAAGCATATTCTTTGAGTTCTTACATGTTCAAAAATGTTTGTCCGTTGTCTTTATACTTGAGCCACAGTTTGGCTGGATATAAAATTCTTGGACCATGCCTCCCTTCACAGCTTTTGCAGGCATCACTCTGCCGTCTGCTGGCATAGATGTGGCCGTGGAACATTCTGAGGACAGCCTGAACCTTACCCTCATAATCCACTTGATCTTTTTGCCTGACTTTTTTAGGACTTTGAAAAGACTTTTTTAGCTATTAAGTCCAGTGATTTTACTAAGGCGCCTCTTTTTTTTTTGTGAGGAAGATCAACCCTGAGCTAACATCCGATGCTCTTTTTGTTGCTGAGGGAAATTGGCCCTGAGCTAACATCTGTGCCCATCTTCCTCTGCTTTATATGGGACGCCACCACAGCATGGCTTGACAAGCGGTGCGTTGGTGCACGCCTGGGATCCGAACCGGCGAACCTGGGGCTGCTGAAGCGGAGTGCGCACACTTAGCCACTGTGCCACCAGGCTGGCCCCTAAGGCGTCTCTTAACATTGACCATTCTATAGCCTTTCTTTGGACTTGGATCGTAAGACTTCAACTTCTACAAATTAAAGTTGGTTTTCTAAGTCAGTGAATGTAGAGCACCCCCGCCCGCCTTCCATATCTGCTTTCTCTGCAGGCTGTCATGACTCTGTGTGTCCCTTCCGTCTTGCTCACGTGGGATCGTTCCTCCTCCTGCCATCCTGTCACAGGCCTCCTCCGGCTGTCTCAGTTCCCCTTCATTTCTCGGAGTTTTTCCTTCCACTTCTGCCCTGCGCTCTGCCAGTTCAGGTTTCCTGCTTTGGGTTCTGGTTTTACAGAGGTAATTGCTTCATGAAGTCTTAGTTTATTAATTTGTGGTAAAAATGGTGACAATTTCTCTTTGCTTCTGAGGAATGTCGCCATCTGTTTTTGCACATTGCTTTCCTCCTTTTTCCTTGTATCTTGGTAGAAATGAGTGATTCTCAACTGAGGCCGCCATGGCCCCAACAGGAGCTGATTAGGAGAAAAGGGTGCAGGTAAGGGCTGGCAAGGGCAACTTCTGGGCAGCAAGGGCTGTGGTGCTCAGGGCTAGGCCAAACACAGGGTCAGTGGAAGGAAATGGCCATTTTGGGTTCTCACAGTGATGGCAAAGTGCCTCTGTCATTTGGTGTGTGGGGACAGAGATGCCAGATTGCCCTGCAAGGCATGCAACAGTCCTGTGTAACCGAGAACGGCTGCAACCACAAAGGCAGCGCTGGTGCCCTGCTCGCTGCAGGGCGCACGTGTCGGGGAGGGATCCTCACCCAGCACTGAGTGCGAGGGTGCTCAGGCCCCAGAGAGGGGCCAGGTCCCGGTGGCTCTGCACATGCAACTCCTGCTTTTGTGTTGCCTGCCCGCTTCTCAGAGCCAGGCCGGGTACTGAGGTGCCCGTAGCTGGGGCAGCGTGCCCTGAGCCGCTCCTGCAGCCTGCACCTTTAGTGTCACCCCACTCATCATGCTGACACCCTGCTGGTTCCCACTCTTGGTGGCCCTTCCACCCCCCTGCATTTCGAGGTTTCACTTATCTCTCAGTGTTGCTGGAGATGGAGTTTGCATTTCTTATACTCCTCATGCTTTGGGGTGGATGTGAGTTTTCTCCAGAAGGGAGAAATGCTGACTTCATGCTGCCATCACGCTGGCAATGTTGCCTCTTGCCTGGATTCTAGGGTGCAGTATATTTCTGTGATGAGGGGCTCCAGGACCCAGCCCACTGAAGTCTTCCCTGAGGGTCTGACGAGGAGAGAATCAGGGGCTCTCTGATGGAATGGCCTGAAGTCCTCTGTCGTAACCGGAGGGTTTGGCCAAGGGCAGAGGTCAGGCCACTCCCCTTGGCAGGTCTGCGCCGGCTCCTGGGAATAGGGGGTAAGTTTGCAGGAGCATGGGGCTATCACAGCGGCCTGCATTTCCCTCCTTGTTCCAGCTGCCAGACCAGGGTCGTCCATGGGTGGGAGCTTCTGTGATAGGTCTAAGAAGCCACTTAATGGTTCTCCCTGCTGCTCTCGGTCCTGCAGGTATGCGGAACTCATGAACTCACCAATCCTGGCATCGCCGATGTCAAGATCCGGCCAGACCGCAAGATCTTGGCCACCGCAGGCTGGGACCATCGCGTCCGTGTGTTTCACTGGCGGACGATGAAGCCACTGGCCCTGCTGGCCTTCCACAGCGCTACTGTCCACTGTGTGGCCTTTGCCGACGACGGCTTGCTGGCTGCAGGGTCCAGGGATCAGCGCATCAGTATCTGGTCCCTCTACCCACGCGCATGAGTTGCCCGCTCCTTTGTTGGGACATGTGGAGGGCAGGGAGGTGGGCGCCCGCGCTTCAGCCAGACCCGGTGTGTGGAAACTGTGTGCGGGGACCCTGAGGGTGGCAAGTCGTGGGTTCTTCTCTTCCAGTTAAGAGAGGAGCCCAGTTTGTGGAGTCCTTGCTTTCTGCACGAGGCTTGTGTTTCCTTTCGTGAAATATAGCATCTGTATGACTGGCTCTGCGTTGAAAGGAGTAACTGGGCCAGAGACCTGGGCATCTGCAGCCCAGGAGAGGCCAACCCAGGGGTGCTTTCCAATAAACTTCCAGTTGCAAACCTGCAGGCTCGAGGTACACATTCTCCAGGCGACTCCCCTGGTTCCCACTTAGGGTCAGAGCTGAGAGCCGTCCCCAGACCCTCCACTGGGCAGGGTGGTTGGCCTGCCCCAGGTCCTGCCAATTCCACATGGTTCCTCACCCCAGGACGGCCAGGAGCCCCTGACACGCAGGGCTGAGGGCAGGACCAGAAGGAGGTGACTGGACTCCCAAAGTGAGCAAGGGAGGAAGAAGGTGCCAATGAGGGGCGGCCAAGGCAACTCCAGGCAGAGAGAGCTCATGTGCAGGGCCCGGCCGAGCGCAGGGTCAGTGGGAGGAAGTGCTGCCCCAGAGAGAGTGAGACGAGAGGGGCGAGGGGCCACCTCCAGGGCAGCTTCTGGGTGTAAAGCACAGCAGTATGAAGTGAGACAGGCCTGGCGCTCTCAGAGACCCAGGGCACAGTCCACAGCTGGCAGTACGCACACAGGGCCACTGGGGACTCACAGCGAAGCCGGTGGTACACCCGGTCCCTCCCTCGCGTGACCAAGCCCAGCTGTCGGGGCATTTGACTGGGAAGGAATGGGACCATGAAAACTGGGAGGGGGCTGTGGGCAGGCCCTGACGAAGCTGGGGGCCTCAAACCCCTTTGTTCCACCAGCCTCGTTGCCAGAAGAGCCCCCTTCGGTCCCTGCCTGAGGAGGTCAGCCCTCCTTTACCTGAAGGACCTGGAATGGCCCCCCTGAGGCATGGGCCTTGCGGGACACTCAGGCCCCAACTCCCACCCTGCTTTGCTCATAACCATCCTCAGGGGCCAGAGGGCCTCAAAGGAAGAGGTACAAAGTGTGCCCCGTGATGAGGTGGCCACACTCCAGAAGAGCTGCATGTAGACAGAAATCTGGAGAACACGTGTGGGATCCAGGTGGCAGGAATGTGAGAGGCATGAGGCCAATCCCTTGAAACAGGCCCACTGACAGAGGGTCTGGACTCGCTGCTGCAGCTCGAGGGTTAGAAGGGTCTCCAGGGTTTGGTTGGTTGGTTGAAACGTGGACCACAAGGCGGGTACACTGCGTGGAGTTGAGATGGCAGAAACGCCTGGGCGCACCACAGAGAGAGGCACCCGAGGGCTTGGGGAGATTGGGGTGTTCGGGGACTCACCCATGAGACCTGCTCAGCAGCGCAGGAGGGTCCAGAGGATGCACCTTCCCCACGACTAGGAGAGGAGCCCCGCATCCTGAAGAGCTCTCCATCGCTCTTCTCTGCAGGTCAGAAGCTGCAGGGGGGTCTGCTGCCACAGAACAAGGATCCTTAAATGCAGTGGGACCATGGGATCTGGGGTAGCAGGGCCTAGTGGTGGCACTTAATTGCCAAAGATAGGGTCGGCGTGGTTGCCATGGGGGACAGTGAGGTCACAGCGGCAGTCAGCAGTCTGACCAGCAGAGACGCAGGTGCGGGCTAGTGATCGTAGTTCCCTGGAAGTGGAGCCACCGGGCAGCCTGCTGAGGTCTGACTCGGTCCACAAGAGCAGAAGTGTTCTGAATCTAGCGAAGAGACGTCTGACTTGGGCCACCAAAACAGGCACGTCCCCTCAGCCTCAGACCAGGCCCCTTGAGGAAAGACCCCACTACACTGCCAACAGTGTGTATTGCTGGTCTCCACCCAGCCTCCCCCAGGACCTGCGGCAGCCCTGAGTCCGAGATCACAGACCTCCCAGCGCGGGGACTAGCCTGCCCCGTTGGCCCCGTTGGACAGGGTGCTGCCGGGTGTCCTCCAGCACCTTTGGGAGGGACCGTGTCAGCCCCCGAGTGTCCTGTAGCCGGGTCACTGGGATGTTGGGGGGCGCATCCAGAGGGATTCCATGTCACAAAGAGTGAGGATCAGCTCTGTTTAGGCTGCAGCGACTTGAACCTCATCAGACGTGAAGGGAGCTACCACGTGACCACGCTCTGGATGCGCCTCACAGGGAGGTTGTTGGGTCAGAGATGACAGAGGGTGGCCTCGCCGAGCAGCAGCCTGGCCACAGCTCCCACAAGAGGCCATGTGCCGAGGGGGTCCTCCTAGGGCAGCGGCTGTGGCCTGCTCCTTGCCACCTTCTCAGAAAGCATGCCGTTTGCTGACATGGCCGAAGGTGGCAGGGCACTGGGTTGTGAGTGGTCCTCTCAGAAGGTGAACCTCTGCTGGTCCTGCCCGTGGCCAGGCTCTTGTGTCGTGCACACACCTCCCCGACCTCCAGCGAAGCTCCCACTGCCAGTGTTCCCTCCTGGGGGAGCCTGTCCTGGAGACTGAACCAGAGGTGATGGTGGCCACAGGCTGATGCCAAACAGCAAAGAATTCTGTCAGACAAATCTCAAAACCTGCTGGGCCCCCCGCGGAAGCAAAGCGGTAAACACACGCATGGTGTGGGGTGCCGACTCCCCTCGGGGATGCCCTCAGGAGAGGGGGCTGCACTGTGCAGGTGCCCGCAGTGAGGAAGGGGCACGCCTCGGCAGGAGGAGAGAGGCGCCCAGCATTCACCCTGCATGCCCTCAGGCAGCCCCGCGGAACCCCCGGTGGCGGTGCATCCACCCGCCTCTCCTCCCACCCGGGGGTGCCGGCACGGGGTCAGAGCAGTCTCGAGAGGCTCTGCGGGCTGCGGCTGAGGAGAGGGTGCCCCCTGCCCGATCACGTCCGTGTCCTCAGCTCATCGCAATTCCCATGACTGCCCTCTGGCAGCATCGCTGTGTTGACACAGCCACGGAAGAGTGTGTTCTAGACAAAGGGACGAGGCGCTGCAAGTCAGCGTGAGGTTCCCTAAGCCCGGAGATGCTTCCAGAATGTCTGAGGAGAGCTGGGCATGTTGGCTGCCAGCATCTTACCCCTAGTGATAGTAAAGAGGAGGTGTTGGCAGACGCAGACCCAGTGTCCGTGCGGGCCCTCGCCTCCACGTGGAAGGCACAAGTGGCAGTGCGCAGAGGGTCACGGGCAGCTGCCCTCGAGCTGGGCCCTGGGCTGCCCTGCTGAGGTCGCGTCGGTGAGCAGTGTCCCGGGACGTCTTGTGGCTGAATCTCGATGTGCAGGGGCCGCGTGGGGCCGTGACAGCCCCTGTGAGCCCTGCCTGCCTGACGCGGCCCTCACTCCCTTGTGCACGCCGGGGCTGTGTGCCTGGGTCTGGCGGACAAGGCGGACGGCTTCCTCAGCCTCCGAGGCCTTATGGCTGTCACGTGGAAAGACTGGTGGCCAAGACTTCTGTTCTCTGAGCTGAGCCACCTGGATCAGCAGTGGCACCACTTGTACTGGATCACTGATGTCCCAACCAGTGGGGCTCTCCAGGCCATTCCCCGGGTCCCCGCTCTGCACCCATGAGGGCCCACGGCTTTGCACAGCACTGCCTCTGTGTCCACAGGACCTGGGGCGTTAGCCAATCACCACAAACCTGACCTGTCTCAAACCCCCCACGGCATGATAAGAACAGGGGCCTTGCTCTGGACACCAGGCCCAGGGAAGATGCTCCATGTTCGTAGAGCCTCAGACCGTCTTTGTCACGTCCCCAGGGCTCTTTCCCCGGATCTGACCTGGTGGGGGACCACGCTCCAGGACCCAGGGGTGGAGGGTGCTTGCCGACCCCCAGCAGCCATGCGACCCCCTTGCTGGGAGGGCTCAAGCCAGCCTCCCTGGCTGTCCCAGAGTGGGCTGCAGAGAGGGCACAGCGTGTCCCTGCAGCTCACAGGACAGGCCAGTGCTCCACAGGGAGGACGTCTGCTCCACGCTCTTAGGTTGCTCCTCACCAGAAGGCCGCGTGTGCCCTCCCCGTCAGTCCCTTTGACATTAACTTAGACCCTTTATGTTCTGGGGGGACTTTTTTCCTTTACATGGATGCTTATAACGGCTTTATTCGTAATAGCCCCAAACTAGGAACAATCCGAATGTCTCTTGACAAATGAACGGGGAAGCACACTGCGGTCCATCCATGAGCTGGAGTCCTCAATCCGTGAAGACGAGCCTAGATGGGCGCCGTGACACTTGGGGTGGAAGGCGCGGGGTAGCATCCGCTAAGGCCCTCGCAGGCAGAGTCCAGCGCAGCCCCAGATCCCCAGGCGGCGCAGGGTGTCTGCGGGTGGGGCTGCCCAAGGCAGCCCAGGGCGATGCCCTCGCAGAGGCTGCTCTGGGAGGGTGTCTCGATGCTCTGAGACGGCGGCCAGAGGACGAGCGGAGGCCTCACAGGGCCGCGCAGGCTTTCTCCCGTCTCCGTTCCACCACAGTACAGAAGGCCTGCTTTTCCTTAAAGATGCTTCCACACGCCCCATGTCAGTCCATAAAGCCTGTCCTTGGAAGTCCAGTTGCCGGTAGTATTCCTCAACGTGGTAGACAGACAAACGAGTGAGAGCAGGGCTCACGCCAGCCTCCCGGCCATGGCCTCAGGCCACGGGACTTCTGCTCCTCCTGGGCACACCCTGGAGGCTGTGTGACCGTGCACGTGCTGACAGGTGGTGTCGCCTGTCCCCATGGGGAGCTCAGGGGCTGGCTGAGGGCAGGGAGGCCGCGTCTAGCTACCTCGGGCCTGCACACCCATGTGCCTTCGTGTCAGGCGCTTTCAGCAAGACCCTCCCCGGGCCCAGCAGCTCCTCGAACCCCTGGCCACGTGTGTCCGTGGACCTGGGTGCCGTTGCGAATCAGCCCAGTGATTTCCTCCCTGGTTCCAAGGGGCCTGTTCTGGCCCTCCTGCCACTAACCGAGCACCTTCTTTAGGACTCGAGCGCTGTTTCATTCAGGAGGCATCCTGATTTTGCGCAGTCCTCAAGGGCTACCCCGCAGCGATTCCATGCCCCGGAAATCGCCGTCATCTTCCTAGCAGTCAGCCGCATCCTCGGAGCTGGCAGGAGCTGATGCAGCTGCGTGCGGGTGCCAAGGGAAGAGGAAGCGCCGCTGGGGCAGAGCCCGAGGTCCCCAG